GGAACCTCCGGGCCACCTACCAGGAACTACTTTTAAGAGCAACTGCTGCTGGCTCTGGTCCTTCGCTGTGCCCGACCCGCTCAGGCCCTGGCCCAACCAGCTGTCTGGCTGGCCTCACCCCCACCTCCTGCCCACACCAGACCACCAGGCCCACCCGGCCCAGTCTCCCACCTTCAGTCGCACAGATCCGGTCTCCCGCCTCCTGCCTGCACCAGAACAGAGCTCCTCTAGCCCGCTGCCCTGCCTCTTGTGGTACCATTTAACCCTGTAAAAGCAGCTGCAGGACACACACCGCATCAACAGAGTTGGTCAAGAGCCTGGTAGGAGACGCTCAAAGTCCATCCCCAACAAGCTCCAGAAACTGCCCACCCAGAGCCCCCTCTAAGTAAGTTGTTGAGAGGGCACACGGCTGGCCCCAAGGCACTAAAGCAGTAGAAAGCGGGAGCCAGGACTACTAAGCACCAAACCCAGAGAGAAAGGGAAATTGGAGCACGAAAAAGTGCCCCATTAATACAGTGGAAAAGAACTAGAAGCGGCGTCTCCTGGATGCAGAACACAGAGACGAAGAGCACAAGTAGGCTACAAGATGCTCTCGGCCACAGGCAGGTCTATTTCCCAGGGCTAGGTTTTCATACAGGGAAGTCCAGGGTCAGCCAGTGCATACTGCATCACACCACAGAGGCGGAAGGCGGCGTGGAGGGGCGATACCACTGCTTAGGATTTCAAGACCCTACAAGGTTGCCTGGAATGGCAGACCTTCTCAGACCCCATTCATGTAACCTATCACTTCTTGTCACATTCTGGAAAGGCTTCTCCCAGTCTGAGAGAGGAGGGGAACTGCACCAGGAGAAAAACTTCAGGAGAAGAAAGATGGTTAAGAAGTGGCAAAGAGGACAGCAGGAAAATAAAAACCTGAGAGAACATGTTCCGTAGACAGGATTCAATCCTTCCTTCCCCGTCCTTCCATCTTTTCCCACCTGCCCTCTGCCCTCTGCCCTGGGCCCTCCCTCCAGGCCCATCTCCCCTTGCTGCCCTGTCCCTCGCTCAGGGCCGCACTGCAGTATTCCTAATAATAACTCCTAGACATCAGCGCGGCTGCCCCTCCCGGTTGGGCAGGAACGAGGCAGCCAGCCAGGCCACCACCCTGCCGGTTCATGGCGCAGCCCGGCTCTGGGCCCTCTTGGCTCCCTGCCCACCCCTCCCTGCTTGGCCCCCATATCCTTCTCCTTTTTGCTCTGGCATTCTCATTCAGACAGTCAGGGCTAGTGAAGGGCTCCAGCAGCATCAGGTTATATATTTTCTTAGATAAGACCTCTATCTTTTCTGGGCCTTGGTTTCTTCATCTACAATATGAAGGCATGGGATGTGGTACCCTCACGCCCCTGGAGTCCATGAGTCCCTGGAGGGAGAAAACAGGACTGACAAGGGAACAATGACCCTGGACAAGATGCATCAGGAAGGGCAGGAAACATCGGTGACAGTGACCTCAACAAATTCATGTAGAAACTTAAGTAAGGAAGTCACGTAAGGATTAAGATTGATAAATGTTACAGGGTAAAAAAACCTGAAAATAAGTCACCTGGAAGCTCACTAGAATGCTCTCCAGCCAGACTGTCCCACAAACAGGCTCGTTTTGACCTCCATTCAAATCTGGCCTCACTCACAGTCCCCTTAGCACAGGTGGAACTTGTGCAATTCCGTGTATTCCACATTTACTGAACACCTCTCTTCCAAATAAACAGTATCCTGGAGCGAAGTGAGAAAGCAGGGGCCATTCCTACGTCAGAAAAACTGAGGCCAGGAAAGAGAGACCCACTCAAGGTCACAGAAGGCCAGGGAGCTGAAAATAGAACCCAGGAGGCCTCATTCCTTCGCAGTTTAGTGCTCAAGCCTTGCCCCTGCCTTCCAGGCCACAGACAGGAGCTGCAGTGTTGCTATAAAGAGAACAGAAAGAGGGCAGGGGATCTGGGGTGGAAGAATGAGTAACTGCCAGTGTCACGTACCACCCAACTCTAGCTGCGGGGCCCTCTGCGCAGCAGCCTGCTGCAGAGTGATGAGCTCATCAGTCCCCAAGGAATAACTCTTTGCTGCCCTGGACAGCTGGACCAAGGACAAAAACTCTTTCAGTTTTTTTTTAAAAAAATGCCCCTGAGAATAGCAGTTGTTCCTGTGGTAATGAACGCATTCCAGAATTGTCCATGTTGCACTGCTGACTGTGTTAACCCCTGCAGGGGCAGGGGCAGGGGAAGGGGCAGGGGCTGGGGCAGGGGCTGGGGCAGGCTGGTTCTGGGTGGCATTGGAATGATGGTTTTTAATTGAGATTCCCAAAGACACTTATACAGACTACAACCAAGGAAGCCAGCATGAAGACAGGACTCAGCCTCAGAAAGCCTGCTGAGCTGTGATCTACTAGACTCTGGCAGGTTACAGATTGCTGAAGGTTGATCCAGACGGTAATTCCCCGGAACATTCAGCCAGTCCCCAGAGACACCAATCTCTGCTACACTTCAAGGGAATTCCCAGGCCTGCCCACAAGGGGTCAGAGTAGCTGATTAAGGGGTTAAGAAGGCCCCCAAACCAAAGCCTCCTTCTGACCTGTCATCTCCTTCCCCAACCATGGCATGAGTCACAGAGCCTACAAAGTGCTGGCTGCACTCGTGCTCCCGTCCTAAGGGCCTGCTTATCAACCCTCTAAGGTATCACTTGGTAGACAGCCAGCGCTCCAGCATCACATCTCTTCCCCTGGTCCCTCCTGCTGCCCCACCAGGTTGCCTGCAGAGTCCAATCTTCATCCTCAGAACGCACTGGGCCTGCCCCCAGCTGCCCTATACTCACAGGGTGTGTCCAGATACCCAACTTCTTCCTACTCAGTTCCTTCACTGGCCCTGTTTGCATTTCCTCCAGCTTCAGCTCTTTGCACTCACAGATTCTCCCAGCTCCCACTAGCCCTGTGACTTCTCCTTTCCTTAGGGAATTCCCTTTACTCTTCCCTTTCCCATTTTTTTACCTACTCCAAGCAATGCCCTGAGGTCCCCAAAGCCTTTCACATGGAACTAGAGGGGATACCCACTTTCCATGACAGCTCTGGGAAGCTCTGGGCAGTGGCGGGATCATCCACTGCAAGGTCCAGCCCCTCCCTCACCATCCCCTTCTACTTCTCTGACTCCCTGATTAGAGCTATAGCCTTTGCCTCTTACTTGTGATCAGTATATGGAGCTGATATCACAAAATTGTTCCAAGGGCTGAGGCTGGTGGGGATAAGCAGCACCCCAGATGTGACCTCTCAGACCTCCAGCCCTTTCTCACCTCACAAAACCCCACAGTTTACAGTTATCCAAACACTGAAGCCTAGATGAGACAGAAAGGAAAGCCAGACCAAAAGTATGAATTCCTCCCAACATCCTGCTCTTAGTATCCTTCCTCCTGTCCCAAGTCCGACTTCTGCCCTCTCTGTGGATCTTAGTCTCCCAGTATCCAATTCTGTCTGTCTACTTCCAAGCTCCTCCTTACACAGCTGGGAACTCTCTTTCCCGATTCCTCCCTGATTCCTGGGCCCCAACTGCTCTCCTCCCCTGGACCCACTTCGAGTCCCGGGCCCTGTGTGTGGCATGAGACACTGAGCCCTGTCCCACCTTCCTGGTCCCTACCTCCGCTTGTACTCGTCCCGCTCGCGCTTCACTTTGGCCAACACGTTGTAGAGCGCGCGGATCTCAGGGGTGATGGTGTCGATCTGGACGCCCACCCCGTCGGGGTGCACCCACGACAAGCCAGGCCCTTGCACCAAGGTGGGCTCCAGTCCCGGCCCGAGCCGGCGGGCGTGAGAGAAGGACCAGATGGTGCCGGGCATGAAGCGGGCCGACGAGGAGTAGGCGGTGGAGGTGGAAGTGGAGGGCGACGAGTGGCCGGCGGCGGAGGGCGCGAGGGGGCCGGCCGGCGAGCGCGCGGGCGAGCCCAGCACCCGCGCCGACGGGGAGCAGACGGCAGCCGGCCGGGCGCCCAGAGGCAGCCCCAGGGGCCGGATGGGGCTGACGAAGCCGGTCTGGACGGCCTGGTCGCGGCGAGCCAGGCCCCGCCGGCCCTGCTTACCCTCCTCCAGCGCCTGCTGCAGCTGCTTCTCCAGCAGCCGGTTGCGGCGCTCCAGCTCGTGCACCTTGGCCAGGAAGCAGCGAAACCGGAGGTTCAGCGTCTTGAGCACGTTGATGTTGGAGCCCAGGTCGTTGCGGAGCGCCATGGCGGCTGGGGGCGCCGGGCCCGGCCCGGGCGGCGAGTAGGGGGCCGGGCCGGCCGGGGCGAGCGGCGCCGGGGGCACGTCCCCTCCCCCGGCGAAGGGGTCGCCTCCCAGGGGGTCCCCCAGCGGCCCGGCCAGGCCCTGCTGCTCCTGCTGTAGGAGGAAGAGGTTGGGGCCGAATAACGGATTCATGGCTGCGCCTTCTGCTGGGAGATGGAGCCCGGTGCAGGAGCAGGGATGGAGGGCGACGGAGAAGAGCCAATGAGGCGCCGGGGGGACGCGGGGCAACCAATCAGACGGCCCGACAGAAGGGGCAGAGGTCAGAGGGGCGGGGGAGAGAAGAGAGGAAGCCAATGAAAGGCTCAATCCGAGGCTGGCAGCGGGACCTTCCCGGGCCTGAGGCCGAGCCCAGAGCGGAGCGGCCCGGCCAGCCTTTCTCCGAGCGGACCCGGCCCACGCCCGGAATCCAGCCAGAGTGGCAGTGGACCATTAAACCCAGGTCCCCCAGAATTCCATGGGTTCTGGGGACAGGAAGCCCACTTCCTTACACTTCTACCGCCGTCCTCGCCCCAGAGCCCAAACACCCTAGTTCTGACTCACGGCTCCTCCCCTGGGTCCCTGGGGAGACCAAGGATCTCAGGAGCCTGAACCTGACCCGACTTCTCAGTACACCACACTGTTCCCTCTTTTCAGAGGATCTCTGTCCCACCCTTCCACCTCTACCCTTAAAGCAACAAAGCCAAAATCCAGTCCCCTCAAAAAAAACACAGCATCAGAGATTGTGAAATTATATTAAATTTCATATGCACAGCGGGGAAGCCATCCTCACAGAGGTAAGAGTTCCAACCCAGTGACAACGGCCATGAGCCACCCTGGGCTAGTCTCAGCCATCCACCTAGGACAGCAGTGGCTGGCTGCTGCCTCTGGATTGAGATTTTCTCCTCTTGGCTGGTGGGGGCTGGCTGGAACTGAGGGGGAACATGGTGGAGGTCTTAGTTCCCTTGGGGGTGCCATTCTCTTTCTGGAAGGGAGCTTTCTTGAAGGGCTGCTCTGACAACTGCTGCTTTACCTTCTCAGCCCCTTTGGCATCCCCAAGGGGCTGAGCACGGTCCTCCGGCTTGAGAGTGGCCTGGGTCCTGGAGGATAGCATAGCAGGTGCTGCTGTGTCTGTGCCCTTGGGAGGAGCACTGTGCTTCGGGAAGGCAGCTTTCTTGGAGGACTGCAGTTTAGGTGACTGTTGCTTTAGTTTCCCCAACACCTTCGGTTCCGTGATCACTTCAGCTTTGACAGCTGGCTGGCTGCTATCCTGGAGCTTGGAGGAAGCCCTGGCCTTTGTGACAGAAGATAGAGCAGATAACTCTGAGTCTGCCCCTTTGGAGACACCATTCTGCTTCCGGAAGGTGGCCTTCTTGGGATGCAGCTGCTGCTTTGCCTTCACAGCCACTCTGGCCCTCTTGGCAGGTTGGCTGCTGTTCTCAGGCTTGGGAGTCACCTGAGCTTTCAGGTCAGGCAAGTCTACTTCTGCAGGGGTGGATGCTGCAGAATCTCCTGGGATTAAAATTAAACAGATGGTTTGAGAAATGGGCCTCATCCCTAGGTCTCGATCATGAGTGGAAGAGATAAGTAGAGGAATCAAATTAAGTGTTTCACACAATTGGGACAGTGCCTAAGAGCAGATTACCTAGATTCACATTCCCTGTGATCACCTGGCCTTCACTCAAGTTGTATTTGAGCCTTGTATTAAAGAGAAGGGATCACTCCCCATCCTTGGGCCAAAAGGTTTGTCAAGGAAGCTTGCCCCCTTGAGGACAGAAGGTAACAAGACACTCTAAGGAGGAGGTGAATCCTGAATAAACCTGAAGCACTGGGCTTTTTTTTTTTAAATCAGAGAAGACAATTTTTTTCATGTGGATTTTGATGAGATGCAGGAAAATAAGAAAACACACAGCAACTAGAAACAGGCTAGTATGACATAAATGAGGGCTGACATATTAAATATGCACTTTTAAAATTACAAAAAAAGGCTACAGCAAATTTTTTTTTTTTTTTTTTTTGGTGAGGAAGATTGTTGCTAACATCTATGGCAATCTTCCTCTATTTTGCATGTGGGACACCACTACAGCATGGTCTGTTGAGCGGTTCACAAGTCAGTGCCCGGATCCAAACCCATGGACCCTGAGCCGCCGAAGCAGAGCGCACACATGACCCCTATGCCACTGGGCTGCCCCCAAACTGTGCTATTTCTTAAGGTTTTTGTTTTGTTAACATTCAGATGTGACTTTAATAAGGCGCATTATTTATTTAAAAAAAAAATCAACTCAACGAGTCAAGCAGATTGTATTCAGAGAAGCTCGCCTCCCTGTCCTCCAACTAGACCCAGGATCATATCCCAGCACGCAAAGCCCTCAAGCCTGTTTCAGAAAACCCCACCCTTCCCCTTGAGATCCAGGCCAGACTCCTCAAGATGGCTGAGAAAACAATCTGCAATTAGTGTGATGGACTCAGAGAAATGCTGATAGTTCTGCGGAGTCCTGTGCCAACCCAATGCTGACGATGCTGGACCAGCAGAGGTCTATCAGGAGTCAGGCAACCCTCAGCCAAGAAGGAACAGAAACCACAACCTGCACTGGGAATGCATTTATTCCAAACAACTGCAGCCACTTGGCAGAATCGAGAACAAGGCTTCCATCCATATGAACGCCTAAACATACTCAAATGGGGCCAGGCTCGGGACCGATTCTAGCTGGGATGAAAGGGATCTCACCCAAGCATGCAAGGGCTGAGCTAAGAGCGGCAGAAGCCCTTCCCTTCCCTGCAGTCACTACCCAGCCTCGTGAAACATAGAAAGAGCACGTTGCTTACCTGTCTGGGACTGGGGGATAGAATTGGAGAATTTCTTGAACTTGGCAATAAAGAAACCATCCATATTGTGGGTGTGAGGGTAGAAGCGGCGGGTAGAACGCAGAGTAGGGTGGAAGCGCCTTTCTCGAAAGCGGGTAAAACCCTCCTGGCCAAAGTCGAGACCTGTGGGCACCAGCCGCACATTCCTCTTTTTCAGGGCATAGTCTACCACCCACTCATTCTCTTCCACCTGGACACGTAAAGGAGACAAAGACGGAAGGACACGCAGAGCTGGAGTGAAGGGAGCTCTAAGGAGCAAACAGCCCCCCAGCCCTGTGCTGACAGAGGCCTCACCATGATAGAACAGGTGCAGTAGACGAGGTAGCCTCCTGTCTTGGAGGTGGCATTGACGGAGTCAATAGCACTCAGGAGCAGCTCCTTCTGCAGGTGAGCACAGCGCAGGACGTCCTTCTCATCCTGTCCAGGAGAAAGAAGGAGGGACCCAAGGGGGTCAGAATTTCAAAACACAGCCTGGGGAGGAGAGGTGAGCTACTGACTGCTCAGAACGGTCCTCCACCTCCCATTCCAGTTCTACAAGGCCCAGCCAAGAGACCTCTCAGCTGGTGCCAAACCCCCTCCTCACCCTCAACCCTGGTTCCTCACCTTGTTAGTCTTCACAGCTGGGTCCTTGGAGATGATCCCAGTGCCACTGCAGGGAGCATCCAGCAGTACTCGGTCAAAGCCCCCCACCACCTGGGGAAAGAGGGTAGGTAAAGCAGATGTTTTTGGCAACCTGTACTGCAGCATTTATTTCCTAGGAGCAAGTTTAAACATTCTGATGTCAGGAAGGGGGCAAGTGAATTGGAAGACACCTCAGGAGAGACGCACAGAGGGGAGAACAACCTTGGGGAACTGGCGCCCATCGTAGTGGCTGACAATGGTGTTGGTGACTCCCAACCGGTGCAGGTTGCCCACGACACTCTTGAGCCGCTCAGCATTGGCATCGTTGGCAAGGATCACACCTGTGTTCTTCATCAGTTGGGCTGAAGGGAGGGACAGCGCAGTGCTCAGCAGCCAGCTCCTGTGCCTCCACACTTGCTGGCCACATTCCAGCCCAGGAATCCACAGGTGAAGCGTCATCACTTCAAGGCAAACTTCACTCCCAAGAAGCCCTGCTGCCCCGTTTACTGTAGAGGCCTTGCCCAGCCTGCACTGGCCCCTGGTGATGAGCGAGCCTGCCTGCCAATGTGGTTTTTCCACTGTTACTGCACATCTTTCTGGTCCTACAGAGGAACTTAATCTAGCTAATAACAGTTTAACAAACGTCTGTGACTAATTACGTGCTGAACACTGTACCAAGGACTTCTGCACACATATCTCAACCCACACAACATAATCGCCAACCCAAACACAACTACTACCCCATTTTACAGATGACGAAAGAGGATCAGGGGCCTGTCCAAGGTCATAAGGGCGGTAAGTGGCACACATGAAGCCAAGTCCAGAGCCTGTGCTCCTCACCACTCTGCTAGCTGCCTGTGCACCGTTCCTTGAGCCTAGCTAGTCACTGACCCCAGCCACTTTCAAAAGCAGAGTCAGACGAATCCTTCCTACCACTGCCTGCCCTTCTCATACCTATGTAGCTGGTCTTTCCTCCAGGTGCACAACACATGTCCAGGACCCGCTCATGCTCCTGGGGCGCCAAAGCCATAACAGGCAACATGCTGGAGGCTCCCTGCAGCATATAGTGTCCAGCCAGGTACTCGGGAGTAGCGCCTGTGGAAGAAGACCCATCTGTGACATGCTGCGACAAGGGCAGGAGCAGAAGGGCTATTGGGCAGGGAACACTTACCAATGGGCACTGAAGAATCATACACCACTAGTCCAGTCTTTGACCACTTGCCCAGGGGATCCAGGTTAACCCCACGATTGATTAGTGCCTGAAGATAAGAAGGATGAAGATTTTAAAACCTCACAGGCCACGGTACCCAAAAAACAAACAGAGATATGTCACCTGGTCCTATCAGGTGATCTATGGCACCACAACTCCTAGAGCTCTTAGGACAGTCGTCACAGACTCACTGAATGCAGTTTCTCCCATCCCATCCCATGGGGTCCTTTCCTTAGCCCCAGGCTCTAACTCAAGGTCTGAACTCGATCACAATAGAGCAGACTGCCAGGTCCTGTTCTTTTATTTCCTGGAAGTGGGCTCTAATTTTCCAAGAGGCTCAGCCCCCTTACATCCTAATATTTAATGTTACAACATATTAACGACAATTATCAGGTGGTTTTTGCACCAGGAGATACACAACACACAGGGCCACACCACTGACTTTAGAACAGGGTCTTAAACCTAAGGTCCCTGAACCCTTGGGAACAATGAGCTTAAAATACTGGGGGCCGGCCCTGTGGCCGAGTGGTTAAGTTTGCGCGCTCTCCTTCGGTGGCCCAGGGTTTCGCTGGCTCGGATTCTGAACAAGGACATGGCACCGCTCATCAGGCCACGGTAAGGCGGCATCCCACATGCCACAACTAGAAGGACCCACAACTAAAAAATATACAACTCTGTACTGGGGGGATTTGGGGGAGAAAAAGCAGGGGAACAAAAAAAGAAGACTGACAACAGCTGTTAGCTCAGGTGCCAATCTTTTAAAAAAAAAAATACTGTTTGTGCATGTGTGTGTGTCTTTTTCTTGGGGCAGGAATCAGTTTCACCAGCTTCTCTGTGATGTGAAAGGAAGACAACTCCCTCCCATTTCTTTCAGAGGGAGCACTTTCCTCCCGATACAGATGTCTCAAGTCTCTCACAGGGACCAGAGGCTGAAGGGACAAGCCTCTCACTCCACAGAGGTCCCGAACCCTGAGCCGGTCAGACAGACCCAGGATGACACTATGCCTGTCTAGGTCTGCCTCCTGGGATCATGCCTGCACCAAGAAACACTCAGGTACTAAGATCCCAGCCCAGTTAGAGGGGGACAGGGGGAGAGTCTGCAGTTAGCAGAAGTTGGCACTTCCCTGAAATAAGCAAATTTCCAAACCCACCCCTCACCTGAGCAAGGTCTCGGCGCCGGGTTTTCAAGGTATTAGTCCTGAGAGTGATGGGCCGAGGCACCTCGTTAGCTTCTAAGAACTCCACCAGCTGGGAAAGCAAGAGGGAAGGGGACAAGTCAGGCTGGCCAAAGAGCTCAGCCACAAAGAAGAGAGCAAGAGGGCTGACTGCCTTCCTTAAACAAGGTAAGAAGAGAGAAGGCAAGAACAGAGAAGGAGCACTGGATTGGCAATTCAATACCTCAGACAGCGGGAAGAGGTCCATAAGCTTGCCAAGCAGGAAGTCTCCATAGGAGTAATAAATAGCCAGGTCCTTCCGAAGCCGGTGCAGATATTCGGAACGAGATCGACCTTCCTCCCGCTGAGTCCCAAAATCACGCAGCACTGCCACAATATCTTGGATGCGCTTGTGAACTCGCTGCAAGTCTGGAGGCTGCGCATGTGGACTTGCTAAGGAACTATTTCATGATGTCCCAGAGCCTGGAAACCCCCTCCCAAGCACCTCCCCACTACCCCTCAGCCTGTGCGGGAAGGATATCTTGCTCCATCTCCCCAGCAGGGGGGAGCACAAAAGGCTCCTCCTCATCCACGTTGATCTGTAGGCCCCCATCCGGCTCATCATCCTTTTTGGGGCCTGACTCAGGGGATATTTCCTCCTCTTCATCAGTCTCCTCCTCGATCCACTGGCCCCTAGAAACAGATCCAGGAATAGAGTGATTCACAGATCAAAACAAGACAACCCCTCCTTCCTCATAGTTTCCTTCATCCCAGCCACTGCCAATTCTACGTCCTAAGAATTTCCAAAACTCACCCAGCAACAGCTTCCTGGGCCTTCTGCTTCTGAGCAGCCCTTTCAATGGGCAGCAACTGAAAAAAGAGACAAGGGGCTGGTAATGAAAGCCTGCCCTTCCACCACCCCACGTAGTACTATCTACCCTTGTATTTTATTTTTTCCTAAATGCAGATGTAACACTTGCTCTCACAAGAAAATACAGACCCTAGAGAAGTGAACATAAGACAGGCACAATGTTAACCATCGCTGAAACTAAGTGATGGGCTGAAAGGGTTCATTACATTATCTTCTACATTTGTGTGTATTTCCCTTTCCATTAAAAGGTTTACATTGACTCTGGGGGGAAAAAAGTTTCAAACAATACACACCCATATGTACACAGGGGGAATAAAAACTGCCCTCGGGCATCCATTTTGCCATATTTTCTTCCAGACTTACTCTATATTTTTCACATAGTTAAAACCATAATCTATTTCCAACTTTGCTTCTTGCCTTTCCTCATTCACAATTAGATCACAAGCATTTTCACAGACATAATGGCCAGGTGTTAATCTAGCATATGAACGGACCATAATTTATTTAAGCATATTGAGTATTTTGGAAGTTTCTGGAGTTTTTGGCATTATGATCCACACAGTGCCTGCAAATCTCCAGCAGTAACTCTGTAGAGAAAAAGGGGATTGTGAGAGAGAGCTGCAAATGGGAAGCTTTTCATTCTACATGACTCTATATTGCTTGAATTTTCTAATAACACACTTATATACTAATTGTGTAGCACACAAATAACTTATTATACCTCAGTAAATAAATTTTTGTCCACATTCTGGATGATCTTCCTAAATGGAAGTAAGAAACTTTTTAAGGTTCTCAGATACCAAATGCTTCATGAAAATCGTGTGTGCATTTTTATTCCCATCAATGGGGTATACAGCACTGAGCAGTCTCATGTTTTAAAACGCTCTATTCAGGGGCTGGCCCAGTGGCGCAGCAGTTAAGTGCGCACGTTCCGCTTTGGCAGCCCGGGGTTTGCCAGTTCAGATCCCGGGTGCAGACATGGCACCACTTGGCAAGCCATGCTGTGGTAGGTGTCTGTCCCACATATAAAGTGGAGGAAGATGGGCATGGATGTTAGCTCTGGGCCAGTCTTTCCCAGCAAAAAGAGGAGGATTGGCAGGCGTTAGCTCAGGGCTAATCTTCCTCCAAAAAAAAAAAAACCCCGCTCTATTCTACAGCTCTTTTAAACTTGCAGGTGTACTGAGAGGACGTAAGATAGCAGAATAGTGATGGAATACTAAAGTCCCTCTTCTCTACTCAGGCTTATCCTTGTCACAGAGGGATAGTCTCAAGGATGTGGAAAGACTCTAAAAGGCAAGGCTTCCTTCCTGAACAGATAAATCTCACCTCTTCACCTTCATCCTCATCTTCATTCTCTGAGTTGGAGTCAGCTCCGTAGTCATCTCTCATATCAGCATCGCTGTCCTCAGAGCCCCAGAGGTCCCCCTGGTTCCCCACACCATCCTCTTCAGACTCTTCCTCCTCCTCACTGCTATGGGTTGGTGCAGGGCGCTTCTTGCCTCGAGCAGTATTTAAGAAGGACTGCGGTCCCTTCTTACGAGGTGTCTGGACAACTCCTGCAGAGATCCCGAAGGGTTTGAAGAATCCTGGACTGATGGCAGTCACACACTGAATGAAGCCTGTATTTTCTACCCCTAAGAATGTCCTCGGGTTGTTCCTTTCACTCTAGAAATGCTCAGCAAGCCTTTCTCTACCCAGAACCCTCAGGTAGCACCCAGCTCCTATTTTCACTGACCTTTTGGTAGCTTTCCAGGCAACGGTTTGGCCCCAGGAGACTTATTCATCTTAGGGCCTTCAGCAGAGCCCAACTTCCTCTTGGCTGCCCTGAAAAGACATATGGAGTGAGGAAATAGAACATATCTCCAAGCTCTGCCATTTCCCCTGACAGCGAAATGTGACAGTGCCCAAACAGCCATTCCATCAGCATGATCACATGCGATGATGTGGCTAAAGATGAGCAGTACCAATTTAACCTATGTAAGTCTAGACATCCACACTCACCTCTTTCGAGCACGACTAGACAGCCTCTTGGAATTTTCATCACCAGCTGTTAAAAAAAAAAAAAAAGGAGGCAGAGCAAAAGATTACAGGTGAAAGGAGAAAGAGCAATGAGAAAAGAAATAGAAGTGGGGAAAGAATTAGTACACTAATTAAAAGGAATAGATTGCAACTCACTCCCATGGCTTTACCAGGAGCTGGGTAAGAGATGAAAAGGAGATGATCTCCATCTGGTTGTTCATCAACCAAATCCAAACGGGGCCTCCCTCCAGACTTCTGATTTCAATAAATGGCATCATCACCATTCTGATAACACAGACGCAAAATTTATCTTTCCTTCTCCCCTTTCCTTTACTCTCAATTTAATCAATTACCAACCACAGTAGCTTTTATCTTTTCAACTGTTTCAAGCTGCTTTTCAAACATTCACCAAGAAATAAAAAGTTTAAATCTCGGCCCTGTCATTTAATAACTAACTATACATAAGTTACGTAACCTCTAAACATCTGTTTCCTTAACAATGCCTCTCTCACAAGAAACTAAGAAAATGAAGTGATACATGTCCAAAGAGTTCAGTACAGTGCCCAGCACTTGCATTAGCTCAATAAACTGCACCTTTTATCCAATGCCCAACAAAAACTACCTGTCCATTCTTTTCTCTCACCCAGGCTTCCATGCAGCAGACTACTCACCATGTGGGAACTAGATCTGTGCTTTCCCATCTCCATCCCCTCCACAAAGCAGTTCAGTGACTGGCCTGTCCCCTTCTCAACTTCCACTTGCTAAAATGTCACCCATTTTTCAAAACCTAGCTTCTTAAAATTTTTTTAAATTCTCTAACTGCATGGGATCCCCCTTCTTCCGAACTCCCTCAATGTTAAACCGCACCTCTTCTTGCATGAGTACTCGCATCCCTGTAGCATCTTCCCTAACTTCTGGCTGATGACAGTGAGTGTTTCATTCATTCTTATTTCCTAATAATTCATACAATCCTACTTGAACAGAAAGTGAACAGAGACTAAGAAACGGAAGAGGTTACGATACAGATCTAAGACTTACACAAAAGCTGGAGGATGAGGAGGGAGCAGGCCTGACCCTTACCTGCAGGCAAGAATCTAGCGAGTTCGGTTTCGGCACCCTTCTGTTTCCGGGCCTTTCGGCCCGGCCCGCGCTTCTCCTTCTTCGTAGGGTCCAACTTGCGCCCCATGGTACTGGGGAAAAGAAACATGGGAGAAGAGTCGCGCGTGTAGGAAACGGAAAAGAAAAGCGCACACTTAGCGTATTAGAGTGGGAAAGGGCATCGCGTCGACCAGAACCTCGACCCAGCACCCCCGACAGCCCCTCGAGGCCTAACCAAACCCCTACTCCACGAGGAGCTCCGGACCCTAGGTCCCAGGCCATCTGTATGTACTGCCTCCCTCCTCACGCCGCAGTCCCGGTCAGTGCAATCACCCTTCCTTCCCCGACTTCCTCCAGACCCACCCGAAGCCTCGGCTCACCTGAAGGTGGGTCCGGGCCCGAGACGCCCCCGGGTACGCGGGACAGCACTCCACGTGCACTCCGAGACCAGCGTTCGGACGCCGCACTCCACGGAAACGTTTCGCGCAGGCGCACAGAGCGCGCTCGCCTGGCGGCCCCGCCTCTTCCGGTCGCTCCTAGTCGGCCGCGGAACTCAGAACGCACGCTCGCGTTGAGAACGCGCGCGGGGCTGGCGGCGGCGCGGCCGGGGGAGGCTGGGAGGCGGGCCGCGCCGCGCTCACGCTCGCCGGGAGCGGAGAAAAGAACGGGCACCGCCTGCCTGCTCTTCCCGCAGACGTTGGCTTTTCGCGTCGCTGCGGAGTTCAGTCGGAAGTGGAACCTGAAAGCCGCCCCCTGCCTTCAAACCAAGGCCTAAGAGCAGAGCCCTCCTCTTGGCAGCCTCCGCTCTACGTCCAGTCTCGGGGTGGGGGAGCCCCACGCCACTCGCCCACTCCCAGGCCTTGGATTACGAAACCCTCACCTTTGACCCCAGACTCCCCTCAGCCCGCGAGGTAAGGTTCCTCTACCTAGGTTCACATCTGAAGGTGGGAGGACCCCTGGCGTCCTGATTCCACACAAGTTAACGAAACTTCAGCGTTCCTTCAAATCAACACTGAGTGCTTAGCAGCTATTAAAAACTGTTCCAAGCACTTTACTGGTTTTATCTTCACAGCTCTGTTAGGAAGATATCTTTATTTTATACATGAGAAATCGACAGCCCATAGTAGTTCACTTCCTCAAGGTTACAGAACCGGTAACCCGCGGCGCAGGTATGACCCGGGCGGTTTGGGAGCTGCTCATCTTCCACAGGTGCTGCTCATCCTTGGTCCAGGGCCATGGGACACATGCACGCAGGCGGTCCGCGGCTCTTTTGTGAACTCCAGAACACAAGGTAGCCCCCTAGTTTCCAAACTGCACATGTCCCAGGGCTCCTGTCATACACACTCATCCACCTGGACCTACACTCACACTGAACCAGAGCACTAAAATACAAGGAAACTTTTATTTTCAATTTTCACCAAGAAATTTGCTGTGGTTTTTTATGCTTTTGGTTCTTTTCCTTTTTTTTTTTTTTTTCCACTTTATTTTATTCTATCTGCTCAGTGGCTGGAGCCGCTGGGTTCCTGGTATTAAAAAGATGCCAACAGAGGTAGCTGTGTCTCGCCCAGGGGCCCGGCCCACTCTGAATACCCCAAAAAAGGAGAAAAGGAAACACAAAATAAACCAACAAAATAAAACCAAAAGGAGGAAGAAATTCAGATCATTTTCTTCAAGCCTGGCGGGTCCCACGACAGTTTGTGTGTAACAGACGTTACAGTGGGGAGAAGCCAGGGCCCAGAAGGCCAGCCCGCCAGCTCCCTGCAGATGGCGCCGGCGCTACTGCTGCAGTCTCTCCAGCAGGAAGGGCACCACTGCCCCTCACTCCCTCCCCTCCCCCAGCGCACTGGGGGCTGTTCCTTTACAACATGGAAGATGGGGCAGAAGGAAGGAGAGGGTCTCTCAGGCCCCCACATGAGAAGCTGGGCAAGGGAAAGTGAGGAAGGTCACTGCTCAGCGGTGGAGGTGGTATCATCAGTGTGGATCTTCACTGCTGCTGGGCTACCTACAGGAAAAGAGGGCAAAGGGAGTTAGAATTCCAGACCACAGGAACCCACCCGGTCCTACGGGAACTCACTGGTAAGGCAGCCCCACCTGCCCAGTATGTAAAGCTAGGGTGAGAGAGCAAAGTCACAAGTTCCAGAACGGCTCTGCTCGAACCGTTGGCCAGAAGAAAATGGTCATACCTGCTGTGGAGTAGGTTCAGGTGCTCGATTTGCCAGGCGGCTGAGAATGTTACGCTCTGACATCTGTAGCCGCACAGCAACTGGGGGAATTCGGGCAATAGTAGCTGGGAGTCGAGTCACATCGGCTTTCATGTCACTCAGCAGCTCTTCTAGCTGTTTCAGAACTGCACAGGAAAAAAAAAAAGTGGTGAGCTGTGGCAGTCAAGACCAAGATCCTTCTTACCACAGGGGACCCCCCCATCACTTCTCAGTGACCAAGGGACTAATGTGCTGGAGTGCTGGAGTATTGTCTTTTGTCACTGAATCATCTGACCTGGCCTCCACCATGCTCACATTCCTGTCCCTCATGTTCCACTTCCAACTGTCCATGATTCTGTGCTTTTCAAAGTCACCTAACCCTCACTGTCCCTTGCTCCCTTTTGTCTCTATTTTCTCCACTTCTTGAGAGAAGTTTCTATTTCCTTTTCTCACTGTCCTTCTTCTCCACCTTTTGGATGTGTCTCCCTCCTTCTCTAGAACAGTCTTCCTCATTTCATCCTCCACCCCTCTCACAATGTTTTAACTTAGAAACAAAAAGTTGAAAGGGGTCTAGAACGTGACAGGATCTTAAAGCACCTGAAGTCACCTCTAAAGTAGCCCAGATGACAGTCTATTATTCTGCTTTGCTCTCCACCTCCAAGAACTTGACTATATTAAGAGTTAAAAGAGGCAAAGAACTACTGTCTTTGGTTGCCTCTAAGACATTAGCTTCCCCAGGAGGAAGGCTAGGCTCCCCGAGGAAGGGGCTCTGAAGAAGGCTTGGAAACACGCAGCAGGTGTGTCGGTGAGGAGCAGAGGGAGGAGAAGGCTGAGTCTGGAGGAGGCAGGGGAGCCACTGGCTACCTTTGTGCAGGACTGCATTGGCTGGCTTGTTTCCTGCCATTGACTCCTTGGACAGGTGCTGATGACTCTCCGCCAAACACTCCACCTCAGCAAAGCGGGTGTTTAGGGCCATGGAAGGGTGAGAGGGGTCCTCTGACATGTTCAGGTAAGCTGCCCGGCGCAGCTGTTCCTCAATCACCAGGGCTTGTTCTAAGAGCTGGACAAGGGATAGAGAGGAAACAGAGGATGAACCGACCCTCACTTTGCTTATTTCTGATGGGCCTCTCAGAACCTATAAAGAACCAGACAGATGGCTCCCCCAAACCCAAACAGTCTAACATCGCATTGCTTTTTTTACCCCCGCTTTGGAGGTCCATGTTTTTTAAACTGTTTACCTCTTTACTGATTCACTTTTACACAAAAATGATAAAAACTCAATTTAGAAAATACAGAGCAGGGGCCGGCCCAGTGGTGCAGCAGTTAAGTGCGCACGTTCCGCTTCAGCAGCCTGGGGTTCGCCGGTTCGGATCCCGGGTGCAGACATGGCACCACTTGGCAAGCCATGCTGTGGTAGGTGTCCCACATATAAAGTAGAGGAAGATGGGCATGGGATGTTAGCTCAGGGCCAGTCTTCCTCAGCAACAAGAGGAGGATTGGCAGCAGATGTTAGCTCAAGGCTAGTCTTCCTCAAAAAAAAAAAGAAAAAAAAAAGAAAATACAGAACATATAAAGAATTAAAGTCACAAATAATTCCACCTCCTAGAGGTATTTAACATTTTGAAGTTTTTCTTTGCATATATATTTTTTATGTAATTGAGATCATTCTACAATAGTCCCCACCCTTCTCCACGGTTTCGCTTTCCGAGGTTTCAGTTACCCACAGTCAACGGCAGTCCAAAAATATTAAGTGGAAAATTCCAGAAATAAACAATTCCTAAGTTTTACACCAGAAATAAACAATTCCTAAGTTTTACACTTCGAGCTGTTCTGAGCAGCGTGATGAAATCTTGCACTGTCCCATTCTGTCCCTCCCGGGACATGAATCATTCCTCTGTCCAGCATATCCACACTGTATAGGCTACCTGCTCATGAGTCACTTGGTGGTCATCTTGGTTATCTGATCAACTGCCGCAGTATCACAGTACTTGTGTTCAAGTAACCCTTATTTTACTTAATGATGGCCCCACAGCCAACTTTATTATTTATTATTGTTAATCTTTTTTTTCCCCCCGAATCCCCCTGGTACATACTTGTATATTTTTTAGTTGTGGGTCCTTCCAGTTGTGCCATGTGGGATGCCGCCTCAGCATGGCCTAATGAGCGGTGTCACATCCACGCCCAGGATCCGAACCGGCAAAACCCAGGCTGCCAAAGCGGTGTGAGTGAACTTAAACCACTCGGCCACAGGGCCAGCCCCCAAATTGTTGTTAATCTCTTACTGTGCCTAATTTATAAATTAAACTTGATCATAAGTATGTATGTATAGGGAAAAAACATGGTATATATATGGTTCACTACTATCTGTGGTTTCAGGCATCCACTGGGGGTCCTGGAACATCTCTCCCATGGATAAGGGGAGACTACTGTATAGACATACCTAATGTTTTCAAAGTTACATAGTAAGAATCTTCCTTTATTATTAACTGCTCTTTATAAAAGATGGTTTTTAATGGTTGCATGGTACTCCATCCTATGGATATACCTACCATATCCTATCATTTGAGTTGTGTTACTCTAAAATTATTTTTGTTTCTTTTCTTTTGTCTCCGTATCTTACTCTCATTCCTTTCCTTCCCCAATAGGCAAACCTTCTAATATACTTACTCTGTTTTTTTGTGGGTGTTTTTGAAGACTGAATATTGTTTCATGTGCACATTTCTAATTTATAGAACCACATTCTGTACATAGAAAATGCTTTTTCTTCCTTTCCCCACTATATCTTTTTAGAAAGCCCATTTACGTTGTTATAGCACATGTATTGTGTTGCTTCTAACTGTTGCTTAATGCTCCATGTGAATCCACATTTTACCTATCCACACTCCCAATGTCAAACATCTAGGTTGCCTCCAGGTCCCACCACCAAAATTCATACTGCAACAAACACTCTTGCACATTTCACCTGGTGGAGCTTCGAAAAGGTTCTTTAAAATATATTCCAAGGGACAGAATGTTGATTTATAAGTTATGAGACTTAATTTGCTGAAGTATCTACTGGTTCTTAAAGAGAATGAATCCATTAGGGGTCAGGAAAAAACGACAATGTGAGAATAATGGTGGTGGTTCTTTCTTCTACAAGACCTGGCTCCATCAGGGCCTACTAATTTACCCCAAACAGAGCATCTGCTGTCAATCTCTATATACCCTGTCTCCTTCACCAACTCCCTCCTCCCGCCCCAAACTATGAGCTTTCTCCAGGATCAACCCTTGGCTTGCTGCTGTTCTTTTAAAGTATTCTGCCAAGAGATTTTTCCTCTCCTTGCGTCAACCAGCACCTCTAGGCAAATGACTTGATGGTTTTCAAACCTGCATCTGAAGCACTGATTGTTCTGATCCCTCTGTATGGTTGATCACTCTTTGATCCCACTTGTTTATGGGGAGGGGGGAGTGGGAGGATATTTACTTGAAACACCAAATGACTTAATTGAACTTATTCTTTTCTACACACTGCTCCCTCTCATTTCCTTGATCTGCCAATGATAATTTAATTTTGTCAGTGACTCAAGCTCAAAACTTGAGTTATTTTTGGCATCTCACTCCTTTGTAACTCAAATCCAGTAAGTTAGAAGTCTACAAACTATGGCCTGTGGACCAAATCTGGCCCGCTGCCTATTTTGTATGGCCCAAGAGTTAAGAATGGCTTTTTACATTTTTAAATGGTTGGAAAAAAGTCAAAATAAGAAGTTTGTGACTTCCTAACAATTATATGAAGTTTGAATTTTAGTGTCAATAAATAAAGTTTTACTAGAACATATTCTTGTTTATTTGTACCTATGGCTGCTCTCACACTATGAGAGTTGACTATGTACAATAGAGACCATTAGGTCCCACAAGGCCTGAAATAGTTACTATCTGGGCCTTTAATAGAAAAGGTTTCCTGACCCCTACAATAAATCAGTAAATCCTGTAAATTCTTCGGTGTTTTGTTTCCTTTATCTTATCCTTTTCCTTTTCTGCACCAGCATCACAGCCCAGTCTTTACTACCTCATGACTATATGATAGTTCTATAACCTCATGAAGTGTTGTGTTTCCATTCTCCTTGGTCATAATAAAACACTTCAGAAACCTTCAAGGGCTGCCCACTAACTACAGGGTAAAGTCCAAAATCTCTTATCTGGTGCCAAAACCCACCTACTGACCTCTAGCTCTTACCTCTCTCCAGCCTACCTCCCACCATAACACAAGTATCTTCTACAGCCCAGCTGGGCTATTTACTGTTTCCAAACAGCCTAAGCTCTGCTGCCTCTCTCTTTGCCCAACCTAATCCCTTTGGTTCAAAAAGCCTTCTGTTTCTATCCAACAATCTCTACTGCATTCATCAAAACTTAATTCCAATGCCATATTCTCCATGATGAAGCCATTTGTGAGCTCTCTCCTCACTCCTCAAATTCCCTCTGGAGAAGTTTCTCATGGATTCAGCAGTCTCCCTCCCAGTACACAGAATGGCATTCATTTGATCACACATTTGCCTCTAAGCTGACAGCTCCTTGAGAATAGGCACCGTGCCTTATTTTTCTCTGTGTCCCTATGTCACTCAGTGCTTGGCGCATAATGTTTAAAGGTTCATTAGGGTATATTTCTTATTCTCCCAATTACACTCAGTGTAAGAGCCACGTGTCTTGTCTCATGGTATCCCATTTTGATGGTCTGCACACAAAGTGGCCTCCATATACATTTGCTGAACTCCTGACTGAGAGTCCCTGCAGTCCTGGGCTTACTGGCCCTCGTGACTCTGAAAATGGAGCTCTACCTTTCCCTCTCCTTTGTGCAGCCACCCCACCCTCTATCCACACAGGTACTCTAGTACCGCCAGCCCACTGACAGCCCTACCTCCTCAGAGATCCAATTCAGTCCCACCTCTGCATCTTTCCTGAACACTCCAGCCTACAGTGTTCCCCCAGCACTCCCACTGCACTAGTCTGTGTCATTCATTAGGCACAGTCATCTTCAGCCCTTGAACAGCTGGTTTATTTTCAAGTCTGTATGTCTTGATCCCTAATATTTAAAATACTTGGGAGCAAAGCCTTTCCCGGAATACCAAAAGTTATACAGGAGAATGACCAGCATGGCTAAGTGAACAGAGTCCCTGCTGCACTTTAGAGGCTGTCACGTCAGTGCTGCATTCCTCCCCATTCTGCTCACCTTGAACCTTCGGGCTAGGAATTTATTCTTGATCTCTAAGAAATTGCCACGGTTCATTTCACCCTTGAAAGGCTCATTGAGGATGGCATAACGTGGGTCATTCTGGATGTCCTGCCACCGAGCATAGCCATGGCTATTGGAAAAGTGCTCAGGAAAAACAAAAGGAAAGTAAGAACCTCAAACTGTGGGACCATGAGAAACCTGCTCCAAGAACCTCAGCCCAGACTCAGGCAAAGGATACTTTATGATGCCAGCCAGCAGCCAGTAGTCATGCCGTCGATGCCAGATCTCGTAAGTCTTCTTGGTGACTGTGGCTGCCCGCTCCTCATTCTGCCAAAGGGAATGCAACTCTGAGGAGGAATTTGGGGAAGGTTGGGAAGAAAAAGGCAAACATTTGTGAGAATTCAAAAAGCTATTTACTCCTTCTCCCCAGACACCACCTTAATAGTAACGCCTCTGGCTTTCTAACACGGAACCAAGAGGCATATATAATCAGCCTGGCATTCCCTCATCTAGTAGAGGTAAAGGCTCTATACCCTGGCTTCTGACAAGAACCCTAATTTCACCTTAGATCCTTCTAACCCCAGTGGGCCCTCATTTTCATACCAGTAAAACCACCATCTGCGATGTTGAACATGAAACGCTGCTTAATATTTTTCTTCTGCTTCTCATCATTCAGGTCCTTGGGAGTCTCTCCATTCTGAAGCATCACCTCTTTTTTCTCTTCTTCTTCTTTCTTCTCTTCTATAGGACATGCAAAAGAAAAATGTCAGCTCTCAACAGAACCCAGCGCCTTGGCCCTTACCCATGGCACTATATGCTACAAGACATCCATCTACCTCCACCCTTTCTCCACACAGGTGTCTCTCAAACTCAGAAAAAGGTGCCACCAGCCCATGGACAACTAAATGTGAGGACAGAGGAATCTTTTAACTTGGGATAAAATGGCTATATGGATACAGATGAAGAGGCTGGGGGTGGGTGTGTCCTGAAGATAAAGTCCTTGCTTCTAGTTTTAGAGTCCTTCTAAACCACAGTCAGTTTCTCCAAACACCCACCTTTGTCCTCTACCACAATGGGGGTGAGATCTATTGCTGACTTCTCCTCCACCTTTTCCACATCAGCAACACCTGGGGGGAAGAGACAGCATTGAGAGTGTATCTAAACAATGTTCTCCTCTGTTCCACACTATATCCAACTGAAACAGTCCTAAACCTCAATCGCTATCATTAAAGTCATAAAACATGTCTTAAGAGAGGGGAAAACTCCATAATTTAAACTCAAGGGTCGGGGCTGGCCTCATGGCTGAGTGGTTAAGTCTGCGCGCTCCACTTCGGCAGCCCAGGGTTTTGCTGGTTCGAATCCTGGGCGCGGACAAGGCGCCGCTCATCAAGCCATGCTGAGGTGGTATCCCATGTGCCACAACTAGAAAGACCCACAACTAAAAATACACAACTGTGTACTGGGGGGTTTTGGGGAGAAAAAGGAAAAATAAAATCTTTAAAAATTAAAAAAAAAAAGTCAAGGGTGCAGGGTTCTTCAGTATGTCACTTCCTCCTGACACCTCTATAGCCTGGCTAAAGTCCAAGAGCAACTGTGGTTCACAGGGATCTGCAGTGCTTGAAAATGTGGATACCTTTGGGCTCTGTCTCCATAGGTTCGTCTGTTCTCTCCTTCACCTCTGCCTTTTCCACCTTCTCTTCTCCCTCAGGAGGTTCAACAAGGACCTTTTCATCCTCTGAGGCAGGGGCAGGGGGCTGTGTACACTTTAAAAGGAGAAAGACAAAAGTTGAAGCAGGCAGGCCAGCACCCAAGAGTGGGCTTATCCACTTGCTTTTGGTGTGGCATCCAGTCAGCGCCATCTCTTACCTCAGCGGTGGCCTCAGGGGCTGCAGATTTAACCTCCTTTTCTCCTTCTGCACTCTCCTCTTCTTTGACGCTATTTTCCTCTATTTTTATCCCATCCTCTGCAACCAACAGAAAAGAATTAATTAGGAAGAAGGGCCTGGAGCAGAGATAAGATCATGCCTTCACAGTTTGTCTCATTTTAAATTGTCCTCTCGTGCCTTTAAGAGCCAGACCTATTCTCAGGACGGCCCTCCTAAACTGAGAGGGAGAGATTGCTGTGTGTCCTGCCAGAGGCCCCTGTTAGAACTGAGCACAGGCGAGCAGAGAAAGCATAGGCCAGGACAAGAAGAGAGGGACAGAAAAGGACAGTGCCCGCAGACTTACCGGCAGGTGGAGCAGGTGCAGGAGTATTGGGTTGCGTGTCCCCTGGAGTGGAGGGTGTAGGAGTCTTGGGGGAAGGTGACCCGGGCTGGGACATTTTTTTGTTTTCCTCTACTTCAGCAAGTTCAGGCATGCTCCAGCGCCCATTAACATGTTCAAACTCCTGAACCTATAGCAACAGGACAAGAAGTTGAAGACCCAATTCCAGCTCTAGGCTCCTTTCCTGTTGGCCCTCCAGTTTCCCCTAGAAACCTTGAACAACAGAGAGAGGCTCAGGGCTTACCTTCTTGCGAATCAAGGACATAACACCAATCCTGGTAAGAACGTGCTGGCGAGACAGGCCTTCTCTGGGGACACCATCAGCAAAGGTCTCAGCCCCATCTGCTCCCGGCTCACATAAATGCCGCATAAAAAGAGAGACGTAAGCCCTGTAGAAAATAAGTAGAGAAATGAGTTAAACAGCAATCCTGCCAACCCCTAGATCGGACTGTTTCCCATCCCCACTTAGGCATTATCCCAGACCACGACTGTGGTTCCATGTTGAGGTAAAGCCAAACCGGCACAGTGAAAGCTGATCTCCAAACTCCATACCATGCCCCAGGTTCTCTTCCAGAGAAGCTAGGGAACACAAAGAACCCTATTACTAACAGCTTTGCCTGCCAAATTCAGCAGAGGAAACAGCGAACTTCCCTGCTTAGCCTGGACTAGTACTGTAGAATGACCAGAGATTAGAAGCTCTTGCCCTACATCAGTCATTCCAGCTCTCAACTTACTTGAACTCTTTCTCTGATTTGCCTCGCAGATCTCTCACAAGCCACTGGGTGGTAAAAGCATCCTGAGGTGGCATCCCATATCGCATAATTGCATTAAGAAAGGCTTTTCGCTGACGAGCATTAAAACCAAGTACCTAGGGGGAGAAGGAACCTAGGTGAGAGGGAGCAGGTCTTACTCCACCAGACCCAATACCAGCACTCACCCAACCTTCCTTAGAATTATATGACACTTACTTCAATATTCCCACCAACACGGGCCAACAGAGGAGGCAATGGCTTATCTTTATCGTTCCGCAGGCCCTTACGACTGGGCCTGCGGGGAGCTGCAAGAAGAAAAGGTTGCATGAGGGACACCGGTAGGGTATAAGACAAAGTAGTATTTTAACCAGCAGAAAGGCATAGGCCTCACCTTCTGAACGTTCATCAAAGTCTTCATCACCTTCCTCTGAGGCCACTGAATAATCGGACTGGTTGTCGGACTGGTCGTCCTGCCAATCTGGAGGGAGAGAGGGCAGATGAGCGGGGCCCACTGCTCTAGTGGAACGGCCCATGGGTGGGGGGCGGGGCCGGCCACACACACCTCGGTCCTCCTGGGAGCCATCATTGTAGTTGACCTGTTTACGGATTCTTTTTCCTTTGCCCAGATTTCGGGCCAGATCTTCTTGCTGCTGCTCATAATGGTGCCGCAGCAATTTCTCCCAGTAGTCAGGATCCACACTTTCTTCTTGTTTTATGATTTCCCGTTCTACCTCCTCTTCCTCCTGGGACAGAGGGAGGGCCAGGACTCAGGAGTGCTGAAGTCAGCACCACCAGCTACCCCTGGTCCTCACAGTTCCCATTCTGCTAACTCCTTCTCATGACTGGACTCGGAAATACTTGGTGTGCCTGCTCGGACCTAAGAACTTAAAAGAAATTTAATTGACAGGACATGGCTCCTCATAATTATGTACAGATGAGCAGTCAACATAACTAAAGAAAAACATGGGATGGAGCTGTTATCACAAGAGAAGGATGAAGAGACAGTATGCTTTCTTCTAACTCCTTTTACTGATACATATATAGTTAGGAGACAGAAAATGTAGAAAAGAGAGATTAGAGCCTTAGCAAGGCAGAATGGAGAAGCTTCTGAAATACTGCAAAAGATTTTCCTACGAGAGAAAGTAGAAGGGCCATAAGCCCTTCTGTTCTTCACAAACTTCATCAAAGTTTACCAACTGTGTGCAAAAAAGAAAAAAATTATACGGGCCGGCCCAGTGGTGCAGCGGTTAAGTTCACATGTTCTGCTTCTCGGCGGCCCAGGGTTCGCCAGTTCGGATCCCGGGTGCGGACATGGCACCACTTAGCAAAAGCCATGCTGTGGTAGGCATCCCACATATAAACTGGAGGAAGATGGGCATGGATGTTAGCTCAGGGCCAGTCTTCCTCAGCAAAAACAGGAGTGGCAGTAGTTAGCTCAGGGCTAATCTTCCTCAAAAAAAAAAAAATTACATACATATATCCTCTTATGTCCCAATAATGTTTATGATCCTCTGAAAGTCTTATATTTTTTTCAGACATTTCAGGCCACTAACTGGTTCCAGATCCCTTACATTAGAAGTAAACTGCTGCCAATAGCATAATGCTAGAATCAACCTAAATATCCATCATGATGTAACTAATTAAATAAATTATGGGGGTTGAGGGTGGGTGAAATGGGTGAAAGGGGGGTCAAAAGGTACAAACTTCCAATTATAAAATAAGTAAGTACTGGGAATATAACGTATAGCATGGTGATTATAATCAATGATACTGTCTTGCATATTTGAAAGCTGCTAAAGAGAGCAGATCTTAAAAGTTCTCATCACAAGAAAAGAAAATTTTGTAACTATGTATGGTGATGGATATGTAGTTGTGGTGACCATTTTGCAATATATACAAATACAGAATCACTATATTACACACCTGAAACAAATATAATGTTATGTATCAATTATGCCTTAATTTCTTAAAACAAATAATGGTACTTCTAAACAAGAACATATTATACAGCAAAAAGAAAAAGGTGGGGGAACTCTTTATGTACTGATTTAGACTCTACAAGATTTTTTAAGTGGACAAAAGCAAGGTAGAGAACAGTATGTATACGAAACTAATTTTGTATTTAAAAGGAGAAGAAAAAAGGCGTTTGTGTGTGTATATATATACGTGTGTGTATGGATGGATAGATATGTAATTTGTATGCATATAAAATATTTTTAGAAAGAGACAAGAAAGTGAAAATACCATTTATCCCCAGGAAGGGAACTAGGCAGCCAGACAGGGGTGGAAAAGACATACCTTTGTATCTTTTGAATTTTAAACCATGTGAATTACTATTTATTCAAAAAGTAAAATTTATAAATATTATAAACAGCAGCTGCCACTACACGAGAGGGTCATTTGTATACCTATTCGTCATGAACAGAGATTATCAACAGGTGGGAGAGTACCACCCCTTCCTTCCCAACCGCTCAGAAAGTGCTGCCCCAGTCAATCACTCCTACATGCAGCCACTGCCCTGACAGAGCGTAGAGCACCGTACAGGAGGGCAGTCAGTCTACAGACCTATCAGACTATTCAGCCACAGTTACACATAACCGAGGTTAGTAGCAACACCTTCAAAAAAGAAGACAACAGGTATGTATCAGAAAAACACAGCAAGAGGGATGGTTCTGAGTTACAAGGATGAGAAAAGATGGCAAAGACCACCAGAAACCTATGCCAATTCAAAGTCCCCTGAGCTGAATAGTTTAAAGAGAACGCAAATGTTTTTCATTTATACCCTACTTTATCATTTAGGAGGAAAAATTATTATCCAAGCCATGCATTTATCATGATTTTAGTATTTGTTTTTTACTAAAAAAGACCAAGAAAAGGAAGAGGAAAGAAAAACGGCAAACAACAATTCTAATGTTTTAAAAAGCATAGGGAAATAGGCTGTCTAAGTATGTTTCTTACCTCCTGCTTTTTCTCCAAAGAGAGTTGAAACAGCAATCAAAAATTTATTTGTAGGGTTAATGAAATGAGATTCTGATAAAGAGCTAATATAACTGTTTTGAGTGAGAAATTTGGCTGTGAGTTTCCTGACAGGCACGGCAAAGAAGAGAATGTGATTGGTCATTTTATAGTACTTATTTTCATGGAAAGAGATATATCAATTCATCCATGTACTTACTAATTTACCTACAAATGTTTTCCTCTTGTCTCATACCATCTTGGTCTCAGCTCCAATTTTCAGACTAATCACCAAGCACAAGATTGCCTTGGACTCATACTCACCCCCATTTCTTCTTCCCGCACCACATACTGGGCCACTTTGAATGAGCTCAAATATTCATTCATGCCCTGCAATTCTGTATCTTCAGTCTCATCCTGGTTACGGTCCAGCAGTCTTTCAATGGCCTTATCATCATAGTGGATAACACTACTATCTTCTCCCTCTTTGTTGTCTCCTCCTACAAAGAATCAGGAGTCCATACCCCCAAAGTCAGCTTCAGCAGCTGCAGTGGAAAAAGCAAGTCCCAGAGGACCCTAGGTCCAAGTCTCAGGACCCTAGGTATCAAAGATACCCTTTAGAGAGGCCAAGCCCCACACCAAAACAAGTTTCTGACTAACGTACCTCCATCTGTAGCTTCGTCCTTGAATAGTTCCTCAGTGCCAAATTTGAGGATGTCGTCAAGCTCCTGTTTGGACATGGATCCAGTCTTGGAGCCCAGCCCAGGCCGAACCACTAGATGCGTCAGCATCATCTTCTTCTTTGCCACCTGCGTGATGCGCTCCTCCACTGACGCACGGGTCACAAACCGATAGATCATCACCTTCTTATTTTGCCCAATACGGTGAGCTCTGCTAAAGGCCTGGAGTTGGGCACAAAACGAAGCCAGAAAATGAAGTAACCATATTTTCCTGCTTTCACTTTTGCCTTGACTTACACATAATAAGCTAAATCCAGCACAAGGCAGGAGCTGCAGCTTGCCTTCATACAAAACTTCCTTTTGCACCCCTGCCCCAGACACCACCCTCTATCACGTTACCCAAAATAGGGCCATGGCTAACCCAAACGTTCTGGCTTACAATAAGGTAAAAGACTTAAAAAGAATCCATTGTTTCCCCATGAAACAACTAATTCCAGATGGTGGAGTCCTCACAGAGAGTACTGTGTACTTCCAGTAAGTTACTGTACTCTGCTCACCTGGATGTCATTATGGGGGTTCCAGTCAGAGTCATAGATAATAACTGTGTCAGCAGTGGCCAGATTGATTCCAAGGCCCCCAGCTCGAGTGGAAAGCAAGAAGCAGAACTGCTGAGCACCCGGTGCTAAAAAAAAAAAAAAAAAAAAGGAACCAAAAATACCATTAGAAGCGTCTCCTGAATTCCAATTAATAAATGTAGAAGGAATGTCAGAAATAAAAAACCTCATTAGGCAAACACCACAGTGATAATCATTGTAAGCAAGGTCCACTGATGGATACAGAAATCAGCGTGAAAGTTTAAGGAGAAAAAGGATGTTACTATAGTCTCAAACATATCCTTCAAGATATTTATCGATTACAATAGGAAAAAGTGTAACTTTACAGTGGAGAAACTCAGCAGACACCACCTGAACCAAGTGATCAAGGTTAACATCACCAGTAATGGGACGTCATCAACATCATGTCCTCCCCCGATGTGATACACTAAAAAGGACACAGCATTGCTTATATTCTTGCCCAAAACACCTACCCTCAATCTAATCATCAGAAAACATCAGACAAACCCAAACTTATAGACATTCTAGAAAATAACCGACCAGTAATCATCAAAAGTTTCAACACCATGAAAGAAAAGGAAAGAATAAAGAACTGTCACAGACAGGAAGAGACAAAACTAAATGCAATGTGAGATCTAGGATTGGATCCTGAAACAGGAAAAGGACACTAGGAGGACAGCTAGTGACATTCAATTAGAGTCTGCACTTCAATTAGTAGTATGACACCAGTGTTAATTTCCTGGTTTTGATAGTTGTATTGTGGTTATATAAGTTGTTATTATTAAGAGAAACTGGGTGAACAGCATACATGAACTTTCGGTATTAATTTTTTGCAACTTTTCTTTAAATCCAAAATTATTTTAAAATAAAAAGTCAAAGAAAAAAGTAGTGGCTACTGGGACAAGTCTGCCACTAACTTGCTATTTGAGCTTGGATAAGTCCTGGTCCCTTTCTGGGCCTCAAGATAAAATGAGCAAGGTTAAATGAAATGCTCTTCTTTCTAGCAGAAAGGACAAAGACATCAAAGGAAAAAAATCCTCCTAGGAATAGTCCAATACATTCCTCCAATCAAGATATTCAAAAGCTTTACTCTTCCCTATCCATTGACAAAGACCCAAGAGAACCACACAGGAAAGCAAATGCATGAGAACAACAAGCGACCGGTCCAAAGACACGAGTGAATGAGGATGTCTGGACTGAAGCCAGTCCTTCCCTCTTACCATTGAAGCGGTCAATGGCCTCTTGACGCATGTTCCCAGTGATTCCACCATCAATACGTTCATACTTATAACCTTCATGTTCCAAGAAATCCTCTAGTAGGTCCAGCATCTTGGTCATCTGGAAAAGGAGCACAGTTTAATTATCAGTCAGATAAAAATCCCTTTTGCCATGTCACTGAGACTTGTCTACTGCTGTTCCCTAAAGCTCCCAGCCAAGCCCACATAATACCTGGGAGAAGATGAGTACACGGTGCCCACCCTCCTTAAGGTTCTTGAGCATCTTCTGTAGCAGCAATAATTTCCCAGATGCTCTGATTAGGGCACTGCCATCATACATGCCATTAGGCATCTTAGGGGCTTCCTGAGGAAAGAAAGAAATAAGAAAAAAATACTGAAAGAAAGCCCAAATGGAGCAGTTCCAACCCAGGGATGAATGAGAGGTGGCACGACATACCATTGCAGCTACAGGGAAGAGATATGGGTGATTGCAGCACTTCTTAAGATCCATCACCACATTTAGCAGAGAGACCTGGTTGCCACCACCTCGAGCATTGAGTGCCTCAAAATTTCGAGTGAGGATGTACTTGTAGTATTTCCTACATGGCAAGATAGAAAGATAAGTCAGACTCGAGAGCTATTATGTGACTTACAACACAATCCCAAGGTCTAAGATCTTCCTTCCAACATATCTCACTTTGGGACTAAGGAAGCCTAACAAGAAGCACCAGTATCACCATCAGTATCAGTACTATCAGTACCACCACCACCACCACTACCACCAGCACCATTTTAAATAAGCTAAGGTATTTAAATAAGAATATGGGCCCCAACCCCACAGCATTAGGTGTTTCCTTAGGCCTTGCTTGCTCCCATCACCAGATGCCTTGAAGTGGAGCATGCAGAGGAATAAGAAACACTGCAGACTGGCAGATGTCTAACTGTTTTTGCAAAATGAAGTCAATGCTTCTGTCCCTTCTGACTCACTTCTGCATAGGGCTCAGTTCCACACGCACAATCAGCTCTGTCTTGGATGGCATATTCTTGAACACATCAGCTTTGAGCCGCCGCAACATGTGAGGCCCTAGCATGTCATGCAGTTTTTTAATCTGGTCCTCTTTGGCAATGTCAGCAAACTCCTCCAGGAAACCTTCCAAATTGCTTCAGGAAGAGAAAGGAAAAAGTTGTTGGAGAGGGAAAAGGAAGAAAGGAAAGTGATACACAGGAAACGGGCAACAGGAAAGAGAAGCAGAATTATGAACCGATTGTGGATCAACACACACTTACTGGAACCTCTCGGGGGTGAGAAAGTTGAGCAGATGAAACAACTCTTCTAGATTGTTTTGTAATGGAGTCCCAGTCAGTAACAGCTTGTGCTGGAGTGAGTAACCATTTAAGACCCGGAAGAACTGGTGAAGATGGAGAGGTGAAATTCAATGAAAAGAGGGCTCCAGCATATCTCCGCAAAACTCTGAGCTATTTCACTGCCCGGTAGTTAAGCCCCCTGCCCCTACCTCCATCTCTTTTAAGGCCTGGCCACCAAGGGTATGACAAGGGAGGGAGGCAGAGACACTTCTTCCCTTTCCCCTCCTCCTAGGTCTCCCCTTAATGAGTAGGTAGTACTAGAAAACTAAAACTGGAGGCCATAACCTCCTACCCTACCCCCTCACCTTAGACTGATTGTTCTTAAGCCGATGGGCTTCATCCACGATGAGGCAGGCCCAGTCAATAGACCCCAAGATAGCCATGTCAATGGTGATCAACTCATAGGATGTCAGCAGCACATGGAATTTCACAGATGCCTCTTTCTGCATAAGAAGGCAACCTGGTCACTAATGTTCAACTCCTCCAGCATAAGTAAGTCCATAGAGTTTTTTCCTCCTCCCAGCTGTTTTCCTTTTGCCTCACCCCAAGGACCAGGTCAAAAGGAGGCAAACTAAACCCATAGCAACAATTCCCTCTCTAGGGTGGTCTCCCTCCAACTGAGATACCTTCATGCGAGAGGCCTTCTTGCCACCACGAATGGCGTTGTCTTCAAAGGAGAACTCATTCTCTCGGATGATGGCACGGCTATCTTTGTCTCCCACATAGGTCACCACATACATATCTGGAGCCCACATCTCAAACTCCCGCTCCCAGTTGATGATGGTAGAAAGAGGGGCACTCACTAGGAAGGGGCCTTTGGAATGACCCTTGGAGGAAGAAGAGAAGCAGCAAGGTAAGGACTGAGGGTCCCGTCACACTACAGCCTCAGCGCCCACCTCTACCGTCTGTCCCAAGAGCTAGCCGAGGACTAACATGTGCACTGCGGCTTCCACTCTCACCTTTCTCCACACATGCATATGTCCTGTCTATTCCTTTCCACGAAGCCATGCCCGCCTTTACAGAGAGCTTAAGACGTCACCCCTTCCATTAAGTCTTTTCATACTAATTCCACTCACAATTCAGCTTATCGCAACACATATCCATTTCCCCAGGACTGAGGCTCTGATTCTACCCAAGGCACCACTCCCTCAAATCTTTCTCTCTGCACCTGTGTCTATCTTACTGTCATTCAAGCATGTTCCTCAAGGTCAGCGACCAATTTTTTCTTCCTTTTTCTCTCTCCTCAGAGAGTAAGAAAAGACCATGAACACAAAATACCCACACAAAAGACTAACAGCCCCAGCTTTCCTACCTCCTTGTAGAGGGAATAGAGGAAGACTGCTGTCTGGACAGTCTTCCCAAGGCCCATCTCATCAGCCAAGATGGTATCAGTGCCCTGAGCCCAGGAGAAGCGCAACCAATTCAAGCCCTCCATTTGATAGGGGTGCAGGGTTCCACCTGTAGCATCCAGGTACTCTGGCTGTCGCTCATACTTCACTGTTGGCTGAAGGATAAAATAAACAAGTCAAGAGCTAGCAAGAAATTCGCCTCCTTCCATGAGACAACAGCTGCCTGGTCCTCACACATCCTCACTAGATGCTCCTTCAGAGAGCCACAAAAAATTGCGGGGAAAAAGATCCCCAATTGTTACTGTAACTTTTGTGTTTGATTTAGAATCCTGTAGGGGCCGGCCCAGTGGCGCAGCGGTTAAGTTCACACGTTCCGATTCTCAGCAGCCCGGGGTTCGCTGGTTCGGATCCCAGGTGCAGACATGGCAATGCTTGGCACACCATGCTGTGGTAGGCGTCCCACATATAAAGTAGAGGAAGATGGGCACGGATGTTAGCTCAGGGCCAGTCTTCCTCAGCAAAAACAAGAGGACTGGCAGTAGTTAGCTCAAAAACAAGAGAATCCTCACGACAGCAAGGCAATTAACCTATCAGGCAGCAGAGATCTTGGTCCCACAGATCTCTGAGGAAAGATACATCACAGCCTCCCTAGCAATACGATAGTTCTGCTAGTCAAGATCCACCAGGTAAATAATTGTATGTCCCCCTAGATTCATCTTTTTAACCTTAACCATCCTCACATTATATTACACAAATAAAACCCAGAGGAACTGAACCATGAATTAAGAGTCAGCAACCCAGGTTCCAATATAAGCTTCATAAAAGCTTGGCTGTGTGATCCCACCCTTGATAACACTTTCTCAATCATATAAAACACCTCCTCCTATGTTTTTATTTTTCAAAGGATAAAAAAAAAGTAATCTTATTATCTTCTCTCGTTTCCAGAGATGTGGAGAAGTGGGGAAGCAGACGTATGAAGCCGTCTCAGCTATGGAGTTATTACTTGCAGATCATGACTCAGAGCACCATCGCTGGACTGGAGCACACAGATCCATGGTCCTACAACCAACGGTGCCCTCCCTCTTCCACCCCAACTCACATCGACTGTTGGAGTTTCAGGAGGCCTCTCCAACTTCCTTAGCTTCACCTTCTTGAGTTTCTTGCCTGGTCGTCCTTCCTCACCCCTCATTAACTCCCTAAAGAAGACAAATGTCACACAGCTGCCTAGCGTTCTTCTCAATAAGAAGCAACTCCACTCCTCACCAAAGTCACTCACCTGTGATTCCAATAACTCTGCTTGAACAGGTCATAGTCCTGTATCTCCACATCCTCACTCTCCCAGGATGCCTGATCATAGGGCAAATCTCGCCACTTGATCAAGTAGTGAACATGGCCCTTCTTGTCCACACTGCAAGGTCAAGGAGAAAAACCCTCAAAGCCAGAAGGCCACCCTCTTCTCCTCCTAAGTCAGCCTTGCTCTCAAAAACTGCCAATAACCTATGTTCCAAAACAGACCTTTAGGAAGGACAAACCATATACATTCAGAACCTCTACTATACCAGTCTTTGGACCAGAAATTAACTCTAATCTATAGTCTCCTATGGCTCAAATACAAGGATTCAGTCAGTTAATAATAATATATTGAGCGTGTATCTCTTCCAAGTCTAAGTTACTGGTGATGTCCATTTTCTTAATCCCTTTGGCAAGAGTCTCCCAATGATAAGCTGCCTAACCTCCCGTAAGCCCAAGACAACTACCAGTCTGGCCCAACTCCACTGGTACCTGTGGTTGAGAATTCGGTGGATCATCATCCACTCAGGTTTTATCCCATAGCGATAGAAGCGTTCCTCCATCTCTGCAAATTTAGGGTCCTTGTTCTTTCGCTTTCGGCTCTTCTCTTCATCACCACCAAAGTCCCCAGAAGGTGGCTCATCCATATCATTCTTCCGCTGATAGTTGCGGAACATCACTTGACAGTGCAGCTCCAACTACAAGCAGAAAGAGAAATAACTCACCAAGGAGTTGCATTCACTCTTTCACAAGGCTGTTTTCTCACTACCCTCTTCACTGTAGCCCCCACATCTCTAGCTTATGCCAGGTTTACCTGCAGTTCAGACACCCAGGAGCAGTGCCAATAAGACATGCCTTGCCATTTCACAAAGAACTGCCGCTCTGGCCGCCCCTCCAACGGCTTGGGAGAGGGAGTATTGGGATCAGCATCTGGAGGTCGAGGCACCGGTGTGGGAGATGGTGGCTGACCCCACTTCCAGATTAGGATCTTCTGAACTTTGCCCTTAAGAGCTGGACACTGAGAGAAAAAGAGATGATCCAACACCAAATCATTACCATGGGGAAAAGACGGTACAGCTCACACCCTCAACCTTACCAAAGGATTATTTCAAGTAAGATCTAATCCCAGGACCCTTCTAGGGAGAAAATAATAAAACTCTCTCTCTACTTCTGGACGTCATCCAGGATTTGTGTGACATTATCACTCCTATATGCTTAATAAGCCAGTAGCTAGACTTCAACAATAACCCAGAACATGGAAGCACAGAAAACCCACAGACCTAGAGCCCAGAATTCTTCACTTATGCAACCGAAAAGCAGTAAGTGGCCCTATTTAAACCATTCTAAACTACCAAGACCCTGAGGCTAGGTGTCAAGCCACTGACGAATGTTCTGGGATAGAAGAACACTGCTCCATCCCCCTTAAGAGAACTGGCAAAGCATCAACTCCTCTGTTCAAAGTCAGGCCTACATTTTCCCAGGAAAAAGATAACCCAAGACCACAGGAGGAAGGAAGATACCTATCTCGGGGCTGAAAGGTCCATAGTTCTCCAACGACCTCTCTCTGACCTCAGCCTCATGATGCCTACATATAAAAGGCGTAAACCCTTCTGCTAGACTACACTTCTCAAATCTCTCACCCTAGCTAGGGTCAGTCACTCACCGTACAACGGGGACAGAGCCATTCACCATTGGGGATCTCTGGAAGCGGGGGGTTCAGGCAGTGGATGTGGTAGGAGGAAGGACAAGTGTCACAGCAGAGCAGCTCCCCACCATCCTTGCAGACCCGACAGAATTCCATATGGTGGTCATCCTCTTCTTCAGCGTCTCCCCCAACCTCTTCCAGGATCTCCTCTCCCTCTGAATTGTCCTCCTTAGCCTCCCACTGGATGCCTTCCTTCTCCTGTAGTAAAGGACCACAGAGTCAGATCCTTACCACCCCCCACCCACTCAAGTCTGAACCCATTATTCCTTTGAATGCTTCCCAAAGCCTACACCAGCAACACCACCATTTCTACTCCAACCCAGGCCCAAAAGAGCTTTATCTCTCCCACCCTTCCTCTTGAGGGTTTCAAAGGGCCACAATGGCTGGGTACTCACACAGTGGGGGCAGCTCCACTTGCCCTCAGGAGCCTTCTCCATATCTGGATCCAGGCAGACCATGTGGTAAGCTCGCGGACAGGTATCACACAGGATGATCTCACCGCCTTGCTGGCACACCTCGCAATAGTCCTGGTGGTCTGTCTCATAACCATCCACAGCAGTCACCTCCTCCTCGCCTGGGCAAGGAAGAGGGAAAGCCCAGTTATTAGAAAAAAATCTCCCCCCCACCCCCACCCCCACAATAAACCCCACCCCTATCTCCTTAGGGAGATTCTTCACCAATCATTCCACCCCATCCCATCACATACAGATACAGAAGAGAAACACACCTTTCTTTTTCTTTTTAGTGGTCCGGAGTTTCTTGCGGCTGCGGCTACTGCGGCTGGTGGAACCATCAGAAACAGAATAGCTATTGATACTGGCATCATCGAAGTCAGACTCCACATCCAAGTCGTCGTCCTCACTCTGACAGAATGAAAAGGAATAAGGGTAGAGGTTCATGCCAAGGGGAAGGAGAGAGTGGTGGAACAGGGATCAGAAGGGATCACTCCCTTACTAGTGGTACCAGACTCCCCGCAAGACTGTGATACATGGAGCCTTGTCACCTTGTTCTGCGGCCAACTCCCCACATTCTTATGTGCCTACTGTGAAGACTAGATCCTGAGATAAGGTAACACCGTCTCTATCAGACATGGCCCCCTCACCAAAGGGATGGGCTGAAATCTCACCGAAGATCTCTTACGCTTAGAACCAAAACCTCCCAGCTTGATTTTCAGCGGAGCTACTTTCTTCGGTTTAGGCTTCTTGGCATCAGGTACACGAGGACTGCCTTTGGGCTTCCTACGAGCATTAGGACCTAAAATCATGAGAGAGCAAGTAAGATCATATAATCCAAATATACAGCACAAGGCAGAAGATGGGGAAAAAAAATACATTCTCCATCTCAGCTGGTTTCCCCATGTTCAGCTTCCCAAATACAAGATTCACTCCTCCCTCCTATCGTCTATTTTCAGGCAAACAGAACAGCATTCCCATGCTTTCTGTGTCTTCAACATCCTAAGCCCACACTAGTCCCCCCTGCAATGAATCCCATCTCACCTTTGCCCTCCTTGGTCTTGGCTTTGCGGATAGGCACCTCCACAGGGGGAGGAGGTGGTGCAACCTCAGTGGCTGTCACCATGCTCTCCACCACAGCCACTGCTGCCGCTGCCGCCGCTGCCACTGAAGCCCCAGAACTGCCTTTGAAGGGGTTGTTGGTGCTGAACTCCCGCCACTTTGCACCCAAAACCATCATCATCTTGGACACAGCAATCTTGGGGTTTTTGGCAGCAATGAGGGGTCTGGTGGAAAAATGGACAAGAACAGAAAAGAAGAAAAAGTTTAAGAACAAAAGAGGGAAAGAAAGTGAGATGAGATTATAGAAACATGCTGCTCCCCTTCCCCCGCAGACCTCCTATTTACCGGACAAACTGGCTGAAGGCCTTGTAGTTGGTGAGGGTGCGATAATCCTCCTCTGAGAACACATGGTCGATGTCTTCCATGCCCCAGTCTTCCAGGAGCTGAGCAGAGGATTTAGGTTCCTGCAGAAAGAGCAAAGTCAAAGACCTGACACCCAGTACCCACACTTGCTAAGGGAATCTGAGTTGAAACTAAGGCTTCTAAGTCCAGGGTAAGAAAGCTGAGAGGGAATCAGTAGAAATAGGTGGAGAGAAAATGTTCTAAGGGGCAGCAGAGTGGGAGTAGAGTGGGAAACGAAGGACAGAAGTTAACAGTACAGAAGAGGACGGAGGTCCAGGCACCTTTGAATCATCATCATCGTCATCCTCCTCCTCCTCCTCCTTCCTCTTGGATTTGCTCTTCTTTTCTTTCTTAGGTCCAAGCTTCTTCTTCTTCTTCTTGCCAGGGGTATAGTCGCTGCCCTCACTGTCTGAGCGCAGAGCCACCTCTTCCTCCTCCTCCACAAACTCCGGCCCCTCCCCAGAGCTGTCCCCCAGCTGCCGGCATAAGAGCATACGCTGGAGCAGGGAAGGGGGGAGAGGGAGACAGACACACACATGCTACACACATGCTGACCTCAGGACAGCCCTGAGGCTCATCCCCAGGACACGACCCACCACTCCAGAGGAAGAAACAAACACCCCCAGTCCTTGAACCCTTCTTGGAGCTCCTTCCTTCTTCCTCTTGTCCCTCATAACATCCAGTCACCCACTCACCTCTTTTTTTTGGCGCTTGCTCTTAGGGATTTTAGGGTCCCGCGGTTTCTTAGGCTTTTTCTTCTTCTTGAGCTTTGGAGTCTCCGTTTCTGACAAATCCTCTTCTGGGTCCTCTTCGTTTTCTACATATATTTGGCAAAGAGAGGTAGGCAGGGAAAAGATCAATAGCAAAAGGTTAGAGCTTAATCCAGAGGCTTTAGACTTTATTCCCCCACCTCTTGTCCCAGATTCCACTAAAGAGAACTGCTATACTCTCCACAGAAGGAAGCTGATACTCAGGACAAAAACAGACAAAGAGAGAGCTGTATATACCCGAAATAGGCCTTCCAGGCCAAACCAGGCCCACCTCGGGCAGCTGTCCAGACCCCTGCCTCCTCTCCCTCATTCCTAACAGGAGTCTTCTATATGTTCACCAGTGCAGCTGAACCAAGCTGCTCAGTGTCAACCAAGTAAGAGAAATCAGTTTAGTTCTCCTGTAACTGGCCACCAAGTACTCTATAAACCAGGGAATGAGAATGAAAGGTCCTACCTAGAAGGCAAAACTATAGAATACACCCCCACCATCTTCTCAGAACAGTGTCAGTTCAGGGCTCCCAAAAACCACACCCTTCACTAACCCCTTTGGGTCATCACTCCTCAAGACAACCAGAACCTCTAAGAGCCCAGTTCAATTGCCAGCCCAACATCATATCCACTCCCAAACGTAATTTCCTTTCCCCATCTCCAGCCCTACTGTTCCTCCCCAGCTTCTCCTGGGTCAGTAGCCTCTTCTCCCCAGGGGCCCAAATCAGCCCAGCTGTCACCATCTCCTCCACCCCCCATCCTCCTCCCATCTGGCTCCACCTCCTCCCCTGGCTGGGAGCACACACAAAGCCTGGGGTAATACTGAGAGCTCCTGGGCAGGGATAGGTGGGAAGGGGCACGGAGGGGGAGGAGAAGGCCAGGAGGCAGGTTGCTTTGTAACAGACATTCACACCAGCACACCAGCTCCCTCCTCCCTTTCTCTCTCCTTCCCAAGCCACCCCCGCCCAAGGAGGGGGGGAGTGGAGAAGGGAGTGGAGAGAAGGAGGGAGTGCCTCACCCACTGAAGAGAGGGAAAATGGCTCCTGACCGCAGAAGCCAGCCTAGGGCACCCAGCTGCCAACATAGGACAGACAGGAAGTGGCAGGGGAGGGGGGTGGGTTGAGAGAGGTAGCCGGGGAAAGACTACCCTCACACAAGACTTCCCAAATTATTACCTGGCCCCAGGTCCAAATACCACCTCTCCTAACAGCTACTCTGGAATGACACAGTTCTCAAGAGGTCACTCTATTGTCCTAGGCAAGGAAACCCAAGACAAACATGAAGGGTAATACCACGAGAAGGACTGGGTTACTCCCTCTATCACAATTACTTTTTCAATCATAAGAACTAAAATTTAACAAACGCTCAGCGGAGCTGTGGTCAGAGCATACAACCTTCTCTCAAATTTCTGATACCCAAAAGATTTACCTTGAGGAATGGGAGCCCACAAGAAGTCTCTGACGCTCAGTTTCCTCATCACCCCTATGCAAACTCCAGGCCACAGATCCTAATTCCCTCTTATAGATTAGAGGGAGCCACCTATCCAACATACGGGAGTCATCATGCCCAAGACCAAGAAAAACGGAGCAGCGTCTAGATAGTGGTGGACAACATGCTTCCTTCAATCCTACACCTGCTCTTAGCTCCTGACACCCAGAACTAGCCTGAAATGCCTCTGGCTCCGCCCTTCCTGAGTGAGGCAGATACTCGGGAACAGGAGACATGAGCTTGACAAAGCACCATCAGGCTCCCCCACTCAGCCTAGCATCAGGCCAGGCACAAGAAAGCCCCTCCTATTCCCTTAGGAATGAACACCAGCCTGGATCTCACCAGAAAAGAATCATTTTTCTTAAAGGCTTCTCCCCAGCTATCCTCATGTTGCTCTCCCCACCCCAATCAGCTACATCTCTTGGTTCTTCCTCTTCATTACCTCCATAAAAGCTGGAAGTGGAGACAAGGATAAACCCATGGAAGCAAAGGGGACACCGTTCCATCCATATAAGACCCCCAAACTTCCCAAACAGATAATATGCTGACATGGCAGGTGGCAAACTGAGATATAGAGGAAGATTTGGGAAAGGGGCAGGAATGGGGTGTGGCAGATGGAAAAACTGGGTCATGCTACAGCTTGGGGCAGAGTTCACCGTGGGAGCCTGTACAGCTCCCAGTCAACACAGGGGCAGCCCCAGACCAAGGGGCCAATGGGAAGCCAAAATGTGGAACCAACACTGGCTGAATAGCACTACTATTTCTCATGCCCCTCACAGAAAGGACAGGATCACCTCACCACCACCTCAGGCAACAACACAGAACTCTGCCACTTGCCCTACACAGTGATGAGACTCAAGCCTAAATTTCTTACCCCAACAGCTGAAGACTCAGTAATAAGACTGACCCCTCTCCTAAGTGGTCTTAGGTTAAAATAGTCTTCCAACTCAGAAAATGCCAAATGTGGAAACATCTCTCCTAGATGAACTCAACTGGCCGCGGGAGCTGAGGGGAGAGAAGGCAGAAGTGAAAGATGTTCAATGGGAAACAAAAACAGGACCAGCAGGCTCCAGAATTAAAGGAAAAACATAAGCAAGAGGATAAAGAAACGGCATGTAGAAAAAAGAAACCTAGAAAAAAAGGTCAAGGAAACAAGTAAGTGACTTAGCAAGGGCTCTGAAGGAAAGACAGACAGAAGAGAAACATCCACTTAGAAGCATGACATCAATCATCATTTAAGGACAGACAAGGGCTCTTCCAATGAGGCAGGGTGGTTATAACCATATGGGTTTGGTCAGTCTAAGGAGCCACTCCACAACACAGATAGGCAAAACACCCAATACACCCACATCAACACGTCACACCACCAGCCCAAACCCCAGGCTACCTGCACAGAGGCAGAAGCCCCTAGGAAAAAAATCCAGAATTATGTCCACTTGCTAGGGGATGAGAGGTGCAAAGGGTGTCGCCTCCCTTCTTTTGCTCCTCCTAGTCTTATTTGTCAGGCTATTACATCCTACTCCTAGCCCCCATCATTTCCCCACTCAAAACATTCCAGCAGTCTGCCTGGCTAAAAGCGCTGCAGATCCCAGCTGAGGAGCGCAATTCAAACTTCACACAGTTCAAACAGCAGAGAAAACCAGTAACTGATCAAAAGCTAAAAATAATCAGATAGACAGCAACCAACACTCCCTCTTTCCTCTCCATGGCAGTAAGCACAGGATCCTACTAGCACCCATGCTCTGCTGGCCTCCTCAAACCCTCACCACCAACCACCACCACACAGCCTCCAAGGAGTCCCAGCTACCTGCATTCCTCCAAGGACCCACACAAGGTAATGCCTGCCAGCTCAGAGAGCTCCCTCAACTGGGAACTGCATAGGATTCCCGAAGACAGACAGTGCAGCAGGCTTGCATCTCAGCCCGCGGAGCCCAGGAGGCACATGGCTCCCCCCACCCCCCACAAGAGCTCTGCAAAGGCAACCACTCCCTTCGGATGCCCTCCACCTCAGACTGCACAGACAGAGAGAGAAACTCAACCCTGCCTCACGAGAGTACTAGGGAGGGCCGAAATGCCTCCTTCCTGCCCTGGGCCCCTGGGGAAGATGTTACCTGGGTGGGGTGGGGGCAGGCTGTTGCTCAAAAGTGCATCCATATCCTCCTCCTCACTGCCCGCCGAGCAGGGGGACGGGGAGCCCAGGCCCGACGCCATCCCCTTCCGCTCCCGGCCAGGGAATTGGCCCAGCTGCTCTTGCCTGCGGCCTGGGGCCCTCTACACTGGCCCGAGTCACTGTGCGGGGGAGGGGGGAAGAAAGAGAGAACAGTCAGTGACGCGCACTGCCCCCCTCCCCCACACCCCCCGCTCTTTCCGCCCACCCCCACCCCGGCCCCCCCACCCGAGCAGGGCACCCGAGCCAGTCAGGCTGAACTTAGTTCCACACTCCTCGGGGGCAGCCCGGAAGCCGGCTCCCCAGCTGGAGCCCCCAGATGAGCGGGAGCGACGCCCCCGAGGGCAGTCTGGTGCAGGCGGGGGGAGGAGAGAAGCCAGGCTGGACGGAGCAGGGTGTGACGGGGGGAGGGGGTCCGAGTGGCCGCAGCGCGGGGGGGGCCGGGGGAGGCGGCAGGCGGCAAGGCGCTCGGGGACACAAGGTCACTTGGGGGTGGGGGGGCGCCTCCCTGCGCCTGGGGAGGGGCTAGTCCCCAGACAGGGCAGCTCTCCAAAGGCTGTCCTCTGGGACAACTCAGGTTCTCCTGAGGAGCCGAGGGGAAGAGGGGGCGTGGAGGCTCGGGCACTCCTGGGGGCTCGAAGCAGGGACGCGGAGGGCGAGGGAGCTCCCACCGGGCAGGGGGCCGGGCCACGTGTCCTGGGGGGCAAGTGAGCAAAGGGCGAGGGGGCGGGCGCCGGGCATTGTGGGAGCCCGCGCCGGGGTGGGAGTCGCGGGGGGCCAGACTCTGGGTTAGGGCGGGGGGGAGGGGGCGCCCTGCAGGGAAGGGAAAGGTCGGCTGCTGCGAGCAGGGGGCGGTCCGCGGGTCGAGGGACGCCTGAGGAAGGGGTAGGTGGAGGGATGACCCTTGGGGCCGGTCGGGCTGAGAGGGGTGACTCTTTGGGAACCCCGCTCTCTCCTCACCCCGAGGCCGCCGCAGGTCGCACTGGGTCCGGCCCGGTGTCACTCCCGCTCCGGCTCCTCCTCGCCGCGGCCGAAGGGGGGAAAATGGCTCCGGCTCCGGCGTCGCCTCTTAAAGGGCCCGAAACACCGGCCGGGAAATCCCACCGCACAGGCCCCGCCCCCCCACGGACAGCCCATAATAACCTCAACCAACTCCAACCCCCCTCCACTACCGCCACCCTCCTCCCTAGATCTCCCGGGCAACCCCCGCCCCCTCGTCGCTCAGGCAACCATTGGCCACGCCCCCTTCAAGCGCGCGCGCGCGTGTCACCCGGGCAACCACCCACCTCCTGCCCATCCCATAATACACATGGACACCCCCTACACATACACACACACACACTCCATACTCATATGTGCCAGGGCTGTTGACATCTCATAATATCGCAGACCTTTTGCAACTAACCCTTCGGCCTCCCCCCCCCCACTACATCCCATAATAGCCATCCTTTGCCAACTTCTTCACTCTTGGCCCCAATGCTAACATCCCATAATAATTCGTCACCTCTCCCTCCCCATGGCCATCCCATAATAAGCACCCCTCCCAGCACTTCGGCCTCACATCCCATAATACTCATCCCCATCCCCCCCACAGACATCCCATAATAACCACTCTTCATCCACCCCCAGGTTGATATCCCATAATACTCAGAAACTCC